TGCTCCTGGGGTGGCTGGTGCTGTAGCACCTGTAAATTGGAATGACCTTGGACTTTTTGGACCATGGGGAGGAATTCTTCATAATGAATATTTAATCCAGTCATTGTTGAATCAGTTCTTGAACAACTTCAAAAGTTTCAAATTAACATATGGACGTGGTGTAGCAAATACCTTCTGTAGGGAAGTCAAAAAAGTTTGCAAATGCAACAGAGGTTTTTTCGGTTAACAAATATATTTGTTTGAAAAATAAATTGATAAATTGAAATAAAATTGTGTATTATTTTTAAATGCTCCAATCCAAAAAGTTTTGAATAAAATTGGGATAATTATTAAAATATTAAAAAATAATAAAATTAGTATTACAATTAAAAGTAGCGGGAAAAATGACTTATTCCTTAGCAGATAACAGATGTACCCAGGGAAGGAATGATATACAGGGGGAGAAATATTTTACCTAAATAGGGAGTAATGATGACATAAAGATGTATGGTCCATACAGTATGGAATTAGATATTAACATTCGCGAATATAATTGGGGTATTATTAACTACTCGACAAAAATAGTTATTTATGTTATTAGGTCAAACAGTTAGTCTTTTTGTGCTAAGTTAAAAGTTTAAACATACAACATTTTATTTGTTAAACGATACATAAAACGTACAATTATAATAACAATTCATAAAAGTAGAAAGTGAGGTTAGTTAGATCTGACAGAAGTAGGATTCTGTGATTGGTTCAAAGTAGTATATATTGCATTTTAACTCCCTATAGGCTGTAAAAGGTTAATAACGAGTGTTGACAACAAAAACTTTTAAATTATATACTGACTAAAGATCAAAACATTTATTTCATTAAATTGAATTGAGAGCAGAAAAACTTAACTTTTATGAACAATATTTGATTGATATACTTTTAGTTATTTATGTAGGTACTATGCTCCACACCTCAAAGTCTCACCACGTGACCACGTACGGAACGCAGTCTTTTTAAAATTTTGCATTTAAGGCTTTTCAGGTTATGTATCTGTCAAAGTATAGTCAACGAAAGAAATAATATTATGTTTAGGCGTTAAAAATGTATAAATCTTTATAAAATTACAATAACAATGGATGGTTTAAGAATTTAAGAAAATAAATACTGCATTTAATAAAATTCTATGGTCCATGGTGCCAAATAAGTAATATTTTTGTGCATTTGATCCAAATATCTGGTTTTCTCCATAAAATAATTTTAACTAAATAGCATTTATTAAAAAAAATCTAGCTTCTCTATTATGGAATAAGAATATTTGTTTTAAAGGTAGGTTAATATATTATAACCAAAATATCATCTAATTTTGTAATTTTAAATATGTATTTTGGATTATTTAAAAGACTGTATAATATGGTATTTAAAAATGTGGTAAATTTTCTTATCCAGCTTACATTGTACCTACATAAAGTTTTGTCTATATAAATAGTTCAAAAGCTTCAACTGAACTTGATCTACATCGAAAAATAATAACTTTAAAATTTTTAATAAATCACATGTCATGGGAGTATTAAATATTTTCACATTGCAAGTTTCTCTAAAAATTGTTTGTTTTCTTATAATCTAACTTAAAGTAGGTATGCCGAGAGGTATTCACAAGTTTTGCCATTAGAAGTATAAAAGCTTCAATTTAATTTGAACCATATTCAACAATTATTTAGTATACCTATATTTATTTATGACCATATTAACACACTCATTCAAATAATCCACTTATTTATTTTGGTCAAAATAGATTTTTCTAACCTTAAAATACAAAATTAGATGATATTTTTTGTTCTAATACATTAACCTACCTTTGATACAGATATTCTTATTTCATAATAGAAAAGTTAGATTTTTTTTAATAAATGCTGTTTAGTTAAAACTATTTTATGGAGAAATGTAGACCCAATGCACAAAAATATCACTTATATTGCACCTTATACTTTGGAATTTCATTAAATGCAGTATTTATATTCTTAAATTTTTAAACCAACCATTGTTATTGTGATACTATAAAGATTTATTAACTTTTAACGCTTAAACATAAGCGATAACACTATAAATATTATTTCTTTCATTGACTATACTTTGACAGATACATAACCTGAAAAGCCTTGAATGCCAAATTTTCAAAAGACTGCGTTCCGTACGTGGTCACGTGGTGGGACTTTGAGGTGTGGAGCATATTACTCCTACATTGACGAGCTGTGAGTTTATGACATTTTAGTCACAGTCTAAAGATAGCTTTATTATAAAGTAAGTTGTCATTTGACAGGTGTCAAATGTTTAAAAAATAAAATTGAGTTTAAATTCTTCTTTGTATTGGTCGTAGATAAAGTATAGTATTTATAAATTTTATAAATTTCTCTAGAGCTTTACTTTGCTCGTGGCTAATAAAACTCACTAGATAATATACTATTTCGTATTCAGTATAATGTTGTAAAGATGCTTATAATTTTTAGCACACTTTACTCGTTTTTGATGAAGTTTGTACAAAGTTAGAGAGATCAAGGTTCTTCCTGAACGAAATCGATATTCTCCCCAAACAAATCTTATTATTTTTTAATCAAGAACACCAAATCTTATAAATAGACTTAAGGCCTTAAGGTTTAACATCAATTTCACAGTTAAACAAAGAAACGTTTATTTATTATCTGTTTTTTATTTAATTATCTAAGTAATACATGCTATTTGTCGGCTCTATTATAAAATAATATATCGTGTAACAGTTTTTAATACAAACCGACCCTTCTATTTTCATTGTTTTACTAGAGATTAATGAGCTCATTGCATGATATTTTTATAGCATTTTAAAACACGAAGAATAAATTAAATACTTGTTTTTTGTACTAATTGAATAAGTGCATTTAGTTGAAATAATATAGAAAGTAGTTGTGTTGTTTATTTTTTGTTAAATTACTTTCAAAGAGTCCAAAATAAAACCCTGTAGAACATCTTAAAGAATAACTATTATATTATAAACACGTTCTAGGAGTGCATACTAAGTATATCCCTGAGGAACACCAAGAAGGAAAAGTAATATGGGAAGAGGATTTTGTGTTTTGAAAATCTATTTTTTCAAAAATGTCTGGAAAAAAATTACCACAAATAATAATATAGATATTAAATATATTGAATAAAACACCCCTTTAGAAATACAAAAAGGTCTGAACCTTGGGGTTCTTAAAAATCGAATATATAGGAAAAAAACCGTGGCACCATTTGTGGTGTTTTTCGAGAGGAAATCCTGGGTTAAGTTTTTAACGGTTTCCTAATAAACAGTGGAAATCCGAATGAAGAAATAAATTGCATACAGTCCCTGCAAATATAAATTGTACCTATTAAATACAATTAATACTCATTTTAGTAATGATTTACGTGAAAATTGTAAACATTTCAATCATAAACAAATTCTAAATCCAAACCATTCAAAGCGTTGATTAAAAAAGTCTCCACTCAACAGTAAAATACCAAGAACCGGTATTATATTATGTATAATATATAATATTATGTTGCCATAAATTCGTAGGTATATTTTGTTGTTTAAAATGCAGTTATCGGCGTTTTTTTAAAGGACTCAAATATAAAAATATTTGATTTTAAGGTTATGTTTGTACAACAATTATTTTTTGTTAGATTAAAAATGTCTAAACTTAAATATAAATTATATTAGGTAAAGTAATCATTAGCTAATTCTGAACCAACAACGTACGTTATATACGTACCAAATTTGAAAATGCAATGATTTAGTTCTTAAATTACATTTACAATTAAAAACAAAATAACTCACCATGATCACTTAAATAAGATACACACACCTAGGGTTGGGAAAATTTCAATTTTCATGACATTTATGAAATTTATTAAAATTTCCTAAATTTCTGAAATTTCATGATATTTATAAAATTTATTGAAACTTTTAATAAATTTCAATCACTTTAAGTGTAATATATTAATATTGAAATAAGCTCACTCGGGGACCATGGCAAATTGCCTCTCTTACCTCCTACCCCTCTGTGGGCCCCTGCACCAATAATATATATAGTAAATACCTATGTTTATCACAAATTTCTTGAGATTTCCTTTTAAAATATTTTTAAAATTACTAAAACTAAAAGAGATATAGTACTTTTTGGTAAGCTAATGAGATTGTGCCACTTTCATTGTTTTCTATTTATATATATTTATTATTTTTAAATATTTTACTGAAATTTTACGAAAATTGAAGAAACTTCATGTAAATTTTATGAGCCAAAGGCATTTTTTATCCGTTTTCCGATGCAATTATTTAAATTAATCATGACTTTTAAAAAAAATTTAAAGTCTGATTTAATTTACAAATTAAATTGGTAACTGAATTAAATTATTTAAATTAATTTATGCATATAAGTAACAATAATTACTTATAGTGTATTCAAATCCAAGCCGAACTAAACAAAAACGCCCAGACGCTTGATATCTCGTTCTTATAGGTCGATTCGGAATCTGTTGTAAATTATTATTAAAGGTCCCAGGGGAGGCCGCATGTGAAATTTATGCGAAATTTTCAGTAAATTGCGAAACTTTCAATGAAATTTCTGAAAGTTTTACAGGCAATGTTGAAATTTTCGGATTGAAAATTTCATTTGAATTTTTTAAAAATTTCACTTTTCCAACTAAATGAAATATTTCAAGTTTGAAACTTTCAAAGTTGAAATTTTCATTTGAAAATTTCAACTGTCCCAACCCTACACACACCAACGTAATTATATAAGCATATAAGCGTTGAGTTTCTTTATCAATCATAAGAATAATAATGTTAAGTACAAAATACTAAAAAGGTCCGTGGAGGATCTTGCGAACTTAAAAGATTACCTTGTTACAATGACAAAAAACCGGATCTTGAGGGGTCCCTGAAGAGAACCTTGTGGTACACCTAGAATCGTCCCCGAAGAGAACCTTGCGGCACTTTTTTCTCGAAACCCACAAAAGTGGTATTTTCTTACCTGAGCAGGCTTGGGGTGGCAGGGGGAAGATGAGCGTGGTGGAGGATTTTCGGCGGGCGACGGCGCAGCCGAGCGATTGCGGTTTGAAGCTGCGCAGCTGCTGCATGAAATCCGAGCATTCCATCAAGGCCACGTCGGCGAAATGCAGATCGCACAGGATCTGGTTTTTGAAGCGTCTCGCGCGTTTCTGGTTCGGACCGGTCAGGTTAAGTCCGCAGCTGTTGCAGCGCAAGCACTCCTCATGGTAGTGGTTATTGTCGTAGAGGGGTGAAGGCTCTAAAAAAGAAAACATGTTTTTTACTTTTTTAAAACTTATGAGTCTTTCGTATTAAATAAATTCCGTATTTCCACAAAAAATTTCAATGTTTGACCATTTGGTAAAATTAGTTTATTCAGTAAAAATATATGAGTGACTCTCCTTACCTCGAGGCGCAAGGTCGTGTCTACTAGACACTGTCTAGGCTCTACGCATTCTTACTAGGGTGTGTCATTTTTAAGCAACTTTTTTTTTTCAACTAAAAAACAGGCTAAAAACTTTCAGGAAGGTGAAAAAAGAAACCTCTAAAAATTTAAGCTCTTAATATTAACATTAAGTGGTGCCTGTTCCTAACTTTCCATTTTCCATTTAAATAACATGGCATTTTTTTTCTTTTTTCTTATGTTTGTAGCTTAACATTGGAGCATTGTAAAAACGAACTAAAAATTTATTTTGGTAGGAAATTGAACGCTCTACAAAAAAGTTTCAATATATTTTTTCATAGAGCTTAGCCGTTCTGAAGGCATTCAAACTTAAAGTTGCCTTTAACATTTCGAATCGCGGCACGTTAGCGTGTCTCTAGTCACTGTGTAATCCGAACGGTAATATCGACTTTAAAATTATAAAAAAAGAAAGATTTAAAATTCAATACAATACAAAATTCATTGTTTTATTTAATCTATTATAATTATTGAACAAATTTATTGAACACAAATAACTTTTTTTGATAGTAAATAAAATAAAATGGAAAAAAATTGAGATGTAAGTGTTATTTTCTTTCTATACGAAAATAATTATTTTTTCTTAAAATAATTTTTAACTTTTGTATTAGTTTAATAAAATAAAAGTCATAATTTCATACATTTGCAAGTTTGAATACCTTCAGAACGGCTTACTCTATGAAAAAATAAATTAGTACTTTTTTGTAGAGCGTTCAATTTCCTACCAAAATAATTTTGCAGTTCGTTTTTACAATGCTTGAATGTCAAGATACAAACAATTTTTTCCATGTTATTTAAATGGAAAATGGAAAGTTAGGAACAGGCACCACTTAATGTTATTATTAAGAGCTCAAATTTTTAGAAGCTTCTTTTTTCACCTTCTTGAAAGTTTTTAGCCTGTTTTTTAGTTGAAAAAAAGAAGTTGCTCAAAAATGGCACACCCACAGACCTACCTAGGTCTGTGGGCACACCCTAATTCTTACATATAATGCTACCACGCTATTGCTGTTCAAATTCATAAAATAAAATATTCTACACGTGACCTACCAGATCCAAGTGCAAAAAGAGTGAAAATTGCGTGAAGCGTGTAGGCTTAAATTCCTGCGTCCATCTCATTTTGGAAAAGCCATTGTCCAAATCCAAAACATGCACTTTATTCATTTGATGATTTTAAAAATCATATTACAAATTTGTAAGGGCCCAACCTTACTGTTAACTTAATTGATTACTTTGACCTGTGTAAGTATATTTTATGCATTCTAGCACTAATAAATCATCTATCTATCTAAATCATCTCCCTGTGATAAAAGGGTGTGAGTGAGGTAACTGGATACAACGAACCAGGAGTACCAACACAGAAACAACACGAGCGGTGCCTTGATAGCAAAATTTGATTTTAAGAATCTTCTAAGAAGATATGACCCGGAATAATAGAATATTCTTAGAATCTTCCCTTATTGCTAAGAATGTTCTTAGGGACTTTTAAAACATTCAATAGATACCCTTTTAATGATGCAATTAGATTCTTAAAACCTTCCTAAAAAGCATCCTAAGAACATTTTAAGAACACGATTTTGGAAAGTTCTTATAAGGTTTCTTATGGAGCTTCTACGAAGCTTTAGAGAATATTTCCAAATGTCAGATACCCACGTTCTAATATGTTGTATTCTACAATTGTAAAATTCTTCAGGAGACGACAAATACGCCTCACTGTCATAATATGATAGTGAAATGTATATTTATTTAAAAATATTAAATAAACAATTTGACCTATATTTGAACCATAAGTTGTATGATATTATTTCATAAAAAGTAAAATTGGAAAATTTTGTGGGATAAGTCAGATTGGATTGAAGTTGAGAAATGTTATACATTATAATTTTTTTTCAGAAAAACAAATTTATAAAAAATACAAAATCTGCAATTAATGGAGAAAGCATTTGATATATTGCAACTTTTATTATTATTGAAAACTCTAAAGAAGTGCGACATCATAAAAACCCTATAAACCTAGTAATATACAACGTAATATAGACTCCATTTAATAAACTTCATATACGTTATGAAATTCCAGCAAAAAAATCCTTGATGATGACAATTTTCATAGAACTCGATTAAGTGAGTTATTAAAGTTTCGAATTTTAAAACAGTTTCAAACTTTCAAATGAAGCAGTTACATCTGATTATGTGCACTTTACTATACAAAGTGCGGGGGACAAATTACGTTTAAAGTTTACCGAAATGAAAAGAATTAGGCTCTAAAAGAAAAGTTTCGCATCGAGAAAAATACGTTTTAGGAAGAAAAATAAAAGTTTAGCATTGAGATAATAGTACATAGACGTGGGTACCTTAATCCTACTTCAGCACTTTATATTTTATTTTTCTTAGGGTAAGAAAGTTAATAGTTATTTATGGTACTAGTGTGTTATGTTGAAAATAAGTCACGCGAGAAAGATTTATAAATTTATAAATTCTCAAATGGCTTAGGAAACATAACACACGAGTGGCATACAATGTTTTATCCAATAAGTGGAAGAAATCATTTTTCATGAGATAATAATTAATAAGCTTTGTGATCAAATTAAAGCTACTTGCTTCTCAGTACCCTATAAATGTCAGAATGACTTGACAGTGACTTTTTTACATTTTGGTCAAAGTAGGTTGTTTGTTTGGTTGCCACGGGCATGACACATTGTTAGCAAAGGTTTAAATAAAATTTGAACCCTTGTCAGTTTTCCCTGTAGAAAAGGGAAGCTTTATGGAAGAAAAAAACGTATAGAAAATGGAGGAAACCGATGAAAATTACGTTCCTGAGGATATCCTTACGATGCAGATTTTGCCAAAAAAACTCCCGAGATGCTTATGATAAGGAGTTCAAAATGTTTGAGTCTGGGATGAATTCACGGAAGATAAAAGGTATCGATGAAAATGTTCTATTGGCTTATTTTTTACATTCACAAAAAAAAATTAGCCCCATCGTCTCTATGGACCAAATATTCGATGCTTCGCTCGACTATTCACCTTTATAAAAAAATCGACATTTCAAAATATGTCAAACTAACGAGCTTTTTAAAAAGCAAATCACAGTCCAAGACATTAGAAAGACCTTAAATAGAGAAGTTTTTGAACGAAGCTCCCGACGACGAGTACCTGTTGATGAAAGTGGCTTTGATAATGGGGATTAGCGGTGCTTGTAGATGCGATGAATTGGTCAATTTGAAAATAGAACATATTCAAGACAAAGGGAAATATTTTCACGTAGTTTTGCCAGACACTAAACTAAGAAATTGAGAAGTTTCACCATACTTGAAGAAGGATTTCCAGTCAACCCGATCAATTTGTGTAAAAAATACATGTCTTTGAGACCAAAGAATACTAGTTCTAGACACTTTTTTGTTTTTTACAAAAATGGGAGGTATACCAGCCAGTTTGTGGAGGAACCAGCGCTCTACACCGGTCACTGCCTGAGAATGTCTTCTACTTTGACTACTTTAAAGCGTCACGGAGGATGGAAGTCCTCGACGGTAGCAGAAGGATACCTAGAAGAAACGGTGCATAACAAAACACAAATTGCAGAAAAAATACAAGGTACTAATGCGTCGGCGTCTTCCAGCACTATCAGCAGCTGTACCGATATGGGAGCGTATGGTTCCAATGAACCAACGAATTTTACAAAGACTTCAAATTCGAATAAACCTTTAGCGTTTTTTTTAATTTCAATATCAATGTGAATTCTGCTTGAAATAGTAATAAATAAATAGAATACTACTTTAAATGTTATTTGATAGTTTACTTGTCTAAAATGACATTAATAATGATTGGATAAAATTTATTTTTTGAAGTGAAAGGGAGTTATAAAAACAACAAACCGTTTTTAACTCTTCTTTAAATGCTCAAAATGATTCCCATTATTTCGAAAGCAATAGTAAAGACTTTTTCTCAAATTTCCTTCGAACATTTTAAAATTCTTTATATAGGGTATGATTTTTCCTGATGAGATGAGAATTTTCACTGCTTCAATAGCGACAATTTTATTTGTTAACATTTCCATTTGGATAAAAAGTACACTCATCGCTGAAGCAAATGTTTTTTAGTATTGGGTCTGATTTGTTATTTTATTGGTCATGATTTCACAAAATTCAAAACGCCTGTCTTCATTATCAAAGCCAAGTTCTATGTACCTAATATGCATTTTGATTGGGTGGAATTTGTGATGTTTCTACTCCTTCCTAACAGACTTGGTGCTAAGCCCTGTTAATCTAGATGTCGAACGGAGTAATATTGTGGGATCTACATACACCAAACTGACCAAGAATCCCATAGGCTTCATTGAGTATCCAATGAGGTATCACGAAGGAAAACAATTGAGATGGGGTGCTTAATAATGGTAATTTTTGTGGTTATACTGATACCCCCCACATATGCTTTATAATTTAGTGATTGGTCCAAATAATTTCCGGATGGTATTTATAGAAAGGCACTTAGTTATGTACTCATAATGTGTATGAAACAGATATGTATAATCAAAATTTAATGCGTGGCACAGCTATAGTAATAATATAAAATAAATACATACATATAAACTTAATTATATTTACTCAATACTCAAGACCCTTTTAGTGGGATTACTTTTTAAACTAAATGAAGGTATAAGAAAAGAAAACTCTGATAGTGACCGATATGCTATTTATTTGTACAATGTTGTAGTTAAACAAAGTATGTACATAGAAGATACTTAGAGGCTCTATTTTTCTTAAACGCAGTATTATAAGTATATTAAGTTTTCCGCTCTATTTACC